GACAGCCCGGGATCACAGCGTCGGCGCAGCCTCAGCCGTGTTGACCCGTACCCGGTGGAGCAGGTTGTCGAGCTGTGCGTAAAGTATGGGTTCGATCTGACGGTCAAGCTGCTATACGGCCTCATGCACCGCTTCGATCGCGAGAGCGTGTCGGAGGCGGCCGATGTTTTTGCCTCACTGACCGCCATTGTCAGCGAGGGGCCCAGCGTGGTCAAGTCCCAGTTTGATGGCCCACCGGCCGCAACCATGTGCGAGTGGGTGCAGGCAACGATTGCTCAGATCCCTGATGCCAATTACTCTGCCGCGGACAAGCAGGACATTTTGCAGGAGCTGTCGGAGCTTATTCAAGCCCGGAATTGGCCCAAGGTCCGGATTCTCATTAGCGACTTTGCGGCGGTTTTCTGGAGACGCAATGCCAGCAAGAATTAGACTATTTGGCGAAAGAAAGATATTGATTAAGAATTGTTTTCTATAAATAAAGTACTACAAAAAAATTACTTTCAAAATTCCAATACCTCAACGACAAGCCCGCAGGCCGTGCATTTCTGCTCTTCGCTGCCGTCTTCGTCGCAATTACCGGTTGACTCGAACGTGTGCTCGTGCTCCATTTCAAGGTTAAGCTTTTTACTGCGAGTTTTCTCGAACTCCTCGACGCGCGTACGGCGACGGAGATCTAACAAAAATAATTAAAGCGAAGAATAAAATGAATTAACAGCTTGTATCCGGACAGTAATTTGGCTTGGCACTTGTAGATTCTTCAAAAAAAAATTGGAACAAGCGACGAATTTTTTGTGCTTACCTGCCACCGACTGCTTGTATTTTTTCTCTTTGCGCGCGCGCTTCTCGTCGATTCGTCGCTCAAACTCCTTGTCGAGTTCCTCCATGCTGCCCCACTTCTTGATGGCAAAGGACTCGAGGTGCTGTCGCAGGTACAAAAGCATGTTGTTCCATGTCGACTTGTGCGGATTGGCTTTCTCCCAAACAGGAAACAGCTCGCGGTCGCGCAGTTCTCCGTCAGTCAGCAAATAATCCTACATTATCATGACTTTAAGTAAATTAGTCCACATCATTTTGTTGCTGCCGTTGTATTGGCATAAACCCCCTTTGTTTTACAAAAAAAAGTATTTGCGCCGGTAACTTACATCTTTGGCCTCGGTTTTAGTCAGCAGCGAATACCTGTCTGAGATCTTGTCGACACACGGCTTACACACCATAACCTTGAATACCTTCAAATAAGTCACATCAAGATCCAGCGATCCGCACTCCACACACATCTGGCACTCATCAGGATCTGGGTCATAAGGTATGTCGTCGATTTCCAAAACCTTGCGCTTTTTCTCAGGCACATTATCCGAGCGCTCTTCCTCGAGAAAACCGCCGCGTGTATCGCGCATTGTGCTTAGATTGTATTCGTAAAAGCCGGAGGACATTTTTGTGGCGCGCAGCTTTTTCTCGGCTGGTCCTGGTGGTCCTAGGCTTGAGGCAGGTGTTTGGGATTGGGATTGCTCGGCGTGTTTGCGTTTTGTGAGGGCGCGCTGTCGGTTGGATTCTATGAGTGCCAGCTGCTCGGGCGTGAGCGGGTTTGGATCCGGCATTGTGCGTACATAAAAATAAGAATGTAAAAAATAGGTTGAGAGAGAAAGAGAGAGAGGGAAGAAAGAAAAGAAAAATTAAAATTAAAATTTTTTGGATGGGTGGGTTGAGGGGCCAAGTGCTTCTTGGAATCCGCAGCAGATTCTTGATTTTTGCTAGGCTGGTGAATTGATTTTGAAGTGATTACGTCATGGACAGCGCACAAACAGCCAGCACCAGATCCAATATTCAATATCCAAATTGATGCTATTATGCGCAATCTGTTCTGATCCGTTTTGTAATGATATCCATCCCCAGTCTCTTTTTTTCCCACCACCATACCACCCCCACTCAAACTTTTCTCCTCTCCGCGTGCGGATCACAAATATATTTAATATATCGCAAAATTTTTGCTTCTTATTTTGCGCATCATGAGGTCAACCTTTTTTCAATTGCAAACAAGATTCTCTTCTCTTTTACTTTCGCTTTCACTTTTCATATACCATTTTTATAATATCAACAACACACCGAACAGAGTCGTACTTAAATAAATAAAAGATGCAGAGCGGCGTGTACCATAAAAGGTTAATGTCAGAGCTGAGGCAAATACAGTCCAGCACGCTCAGCAACGTGCATTTAAAAACCTACGAAGGCCTAGACACCTGGGTAATCACCATCCACGGTGCTGAGAAGACGCTGTATGCTGGGGAGGAATTTACATTGCGGCTCAAATTTCCGAGCAACTACCCGTTCGAGGCTCCCGAGGCAATATTCGTGGACAAGGTCCCGGTGCATCCGCATGTTTATAGCAATGGGCATATTTGTCTGAGCATTCTGTATCAGCAGTGGTCACCTGCATTGACTGCGCAGACTTTGTGCTTGTCTATTCTGTCGATGCTTTCGAGCTGTGTGACAAAGGTATGTATGGTATTATGAAAGCGCTGTTTGCTTGTGGTTTTTTTTTGGGAGAATATATGCAAATATTGTATTTTTGTGATACTAATTTTAAAGGGGTTGTTTGTAGGAGCGGCCGACAGGCGATCTCAACTACGTCACGGTGGCCAGGTCGCCAAAGGATGCCATTTGGAATTTTGACGGTAAATCATTAGGAGACAAAAGTGCCAGGATAAATGCTTGGATAAATTAGGCATATGCTAAATTTTCTGAATGTTTTGTTTTATAAATTTGCTGTAGATGACAGTGTTTGACGTGGTTACAACATGACGCAGTTCGTATAAACAAATGGACATAGTTTGCCAGCGGCTGGACATTTCAAATCGATGAGTCAAGTGTTTTTTCAAGTGTTTACTTGTAAAATAAACAAGATCAAATACTATACATTGCAAACACTTTTAAACCCCTCAATTGAATAAAACTTTATATCCGCTCACACAGCCAGATGGCCACGCCGCATCCGCCCTTGATCAGCTCAAATTGTAGCTTATACAGGGGCGCCAGCTGCGATCCATTCTCCACCGCAGTATCCAAATGCTCCAGCTCCTCATCCCTGCACTTTGCAATGGTACCCTTGAGCTCATCCAACTCCTTATACTTGAGCTGGTACAAGTCACGAAGCTGATCATTATAATGCCCACCAATCCTCGTCTCCACAGCCTCCGTACAAGTCATCGCCGACTTGACGCCCAACAACGCCGAAGTAACACCCAGCATATACCCGCCAACAGCTGCCAAGGGCTGCAACAAGGTGGGCCGCACTTTGAAATCAACAATGAGCTGATCCATTAATTCCAAGTGCACCATTTCCTGATCGCGCATGTGCGCGAGCAAGGTTTTGAGCTCTGGCGTTTGCCGGCCTAAGATAGCCATTTGCCCTTTGTAGATTGTGACGGCAGCGGTTTCTCCGGCTTGGTTGACGCGGATGAACTGGTCTATCATGGCGTGCTCTTGTCTGGTGAGCGTGAGCGTGTTGTTTTTCACTTGCACTGTATCCTTGTATTGGAAGGGCTTGAGATACGGGTTGTGCACTGCCGGGCTGCTCAGAGCGCGGGTCAGCGGGCGCGTCGAATTGGCAGTAACAATTCGTAATAAAGTTGAATTCATGTTTGATTTTTTTTGGAAAAGAGAATAATTGCTAAATTCAATTTGGATATTTGCGCGGAAAGGAAAAAAAAGAGTGAGCAGTAAATATAGAAAATTGTTGGTGACGCTGATAATATTCTCCCACTAAAAAAAACACCGCATTTATCGTTTATCAGCTTTGATCAGATACTGCTGTTGATTAGCAGTTTAGGATCAATCTTAATAATTCTGTGTTCGATATATAATTGCAGATATTTCTGCACACTAAAAGAAAAAATGAGACCACAAATATCCTGCAAGTCGACATCCTTCCCATTCGGCTTGCATAGCAACCTGACAGGTGTTTAGGAACTAGTGGCAATAGACTGCTATGGTTGACGATGTTATCCAGCTCGCTGCCTCTTGCAAAGAGAAGAAGCAGGGGCAGGTAGATTCTTGCGCACACGCCTGGGCTTGGGCTTGGGCTTGGGCCTGCGCCTGCGCTTGAACAAAGTCCTGGGCTTGGGCGGTTTGAGCAAAGTCTTAGGGGCCGTTGTAGACTTAGGTTCAGCCGATTTTGACGATATTTTTTGCGCAAGAAACGGGTTTTGAAAATCCCCCGCTTAAAAATCTGGACTTTCACTATAAATGTCTGGAAATTCCAAAATCCATTTACATTTCCGTATTGCTGCCGGAAAATCAGCAGGGGACTGACTTGTATGTAATATGATGTAATAAACTTTGATTTGTCCGGGACAGCTTGAATTTTGGAACCGAGACACGCCCGCGAAGAGAATAAAAAAAATAAACAAGTCTAATATGGCTTGGTCACGGGAAAGTCGTGAGAGCAACAATCGGAGATGATGCACTGCGCCATTGAGCCGGCAAAAATATGAGTGTTAAAGTGACACGGCCGTACCACACCAAAAAACCCCCCCTCCTTTCTTCCTTTTCTTTTCTTCATTCAGCTGACTTTTTTTAGTATTTGCATTAACCTTACTCGTACCTCTATTATTATAAGACAAATAAGTGCAACCCATTTTATACCATGTCCACGCCAAGCCCCCAAAGCACAGGCAGCAAAGGCAGGAGAAGCATGTTTCCTCCGAACGCACAGCGCGTATCTGCGATACAAGAAGCGGCGGGATCGCGCCCCGTCTCTGGGTCCACGCCCAGGAGCTTTACGCAAGAGACAGAGCTTCTCATCTCGGGCTCTGTGGCCGACGACAGCGACGCGCCATTAAGGCGGCCGCGCTCTGAAATGGTTCTGTCTGAGGCCGAAGCAGCGCGGCGGCTAAAGAGACATTTGGTCACTCGCCCTCTGGCTGCGCCCTCCATGAGCTCACAGCCGCGGAGCTACGGGAGCCTGGGTGGCAGCAACGACAATGGGTATTCGGACGAGAACGACGGCGAGGACGAAGACGACAGCAACCGGAATGCATCGGACGATGAGGAGCCTGTGGATCCGTTTACGCTCCCGTCGGGCGACATCACGCACCCGCTATACCGGTGGCACGAGGAGCACGGCCAGGGGTCGCGCGCGGGGAGCACGCGGCGGAACCATAACCGCACGCGGTCGTTTTCTGCGGCGCCGTCGGACACGGAGTGGGGCCTCGGGTACACGCCCGACCAGATCCTGGCACCCGGCGGGTTCAGGCGGCAGTTTGTGCACGAGCGTGCGGCGCAGCAGGGCCGGCCGGCCAATATTCTGACGGCGAACTTTGTCGACTACATCGGGCTCTACGGCCACTTTGCCGGCGGCGATTACCCGAGTGACGAGGACGATGACGAGGACGAGGAAGCGGGTGGCGACGAGGAGGAGGGCGGCGCTGAGGAGCGCGCGGCACTGATCAGGGCTTCCAAGCGACAGGCGCGCGATATCAGGGGCACAGCAACCCCGCGCAAGGCGTTCTTCCTGCTGATAAAGTCATTTGTCGGAACGGGGATCCTGGTGCTGCCACGCGCGTTTTTCAACGGTGGGCTGGTCTTCTCGACGGTGCTTATGTCGGCCATTGCCTGGTACGCGCTGCACTGCATGATCATGCTGTCCGACGTCTACTTGAGGCTTGGCGGCAGCTACGGCGACCTCGCGCTCAAGCTGTACGGCCGGCCGCTAAAGTACTGCGTGCTCGTTTCCATTGTGTTGGCGCAGCTGGGATTCTGCTGCGCATATGTCATTTTCGTTGCGACCAATATGCAGGACCTGTGGAATTCGCTCACCGGGTGCCGGTACCAGTTTTCGGCCGAGGCATGGATCGTCGTGCAGCTGCTGGTGTATATCCCGCTGTCCTTTGTGCGCAAAATCAAAAAGTTTGCCTCGATCTCGGTTATTGGGAACTTTTTCATTCTCGTTGGACTGGGCTACCTGTTTGTTTACGACTTTTGGTCGCTGGCTGTCAACGGCCCAGCAAAAGTCGTGCAGTTTAACCCAAGCAAGTTCCCGCTGCTGGTGGGCACGGCAGCCTTCTCGTACGAGGGCATTTCGCTGGTGATCCCGATTGTCGAGAGCATGGAGCACAAAGAAAAGTTCAACAAGGTGCTCACGTCCTCGCTAGTGATCTGTGCGGGGCTCTTTGTGTCCATTGGCGCGCTCTCGTACCTGACATTTGGCGACGCCATCGAGCCCGTTGTTCTGCTCAACCTGCCCAGCGGATCCATGTGGACATTGGGCATACAGCTCCTGTACTCCCTAGCCATCATCATGTCCGTACCCTTGCAGCTGTTCCCAGCCATCCGAATTCTCGAATCCGGCCTGTTTACGAGATCAGGGAAGGGCAATTTGGTCGTGAAGACGCAAAAGAACTTGTTTCGCACTTTGGTCGTTGTGGTTGTAGCGCTGGTGGCTGTGTTTGGCGCCGAGAAGCTCGACAATTTCATCGCTATTGTCGGTGCCGGCGCCTGCATTCCGCTGTCCTTTCTGTTCCCGCCGATGCTGCACTACCGCGTGTTTGCCAATACTTTGGGCGCAAAGATTAAGGATATGGCGTTGATTACTGTTGCGCTTTTTGGCCTCGTCTATGTCACATACATTAGCGTCGACACTTGGGGATCCACCACGCCGCCGCTGGACCGCTGTGCGACAAGCCCTCCTTAAGTTTAAGTTTAAGTTTGATCTTTATGAACTCATGAACGCTTCAAAGATACATTGTATTTTTTATTTATTGAATCGGGTATAACCAATGCAACGCTTTATTCGCTCCATTTTGAACTATCGTCGATCTGATCCCGTTTGCCCACACCCGCATTGGGCACACCGCGCATGCGCTTGCGCATATCCAGTAGTCCGCGCTTGCATTCAAACAGGCTTTTGCCGAGCATCTTGCATTGCTCCGGGACGAGGTGCGCGAGATCCTTGTTTCTTATGCACTCGTCGACAGAGTGTCTCTTGATGAATACGCATTCGGACCGTAGAAGGCACTGAATATATTCGTCGCGGATCCCATCGCAAGAAGGCATTTTTAAATTTGCAATAATTAAAGAATAGTAGAATAAAAATAAAAGTTGTGAAACTGAAAAAAAAGTGAAAAAAAGTCTTCGATTTTTTTTATCTGCGAGCAAAAATAAGTGATCTCCCCCACATTGTGATTTCAAAAGTCGGTTGGTTTTCAGTCGAGCAAGTAATGGGACAAGAAAAAAATACTTTACAAAATGTGATTTTTATTATTTAAATTCTGCATCATTAACGCAGAAAAAGAAAAAAGTAAGGAGTCAAAGAGGAGTGGAGAAAGAGGTCCCATTAGCAGGCGCAAGCAGTGCCGCACCGGTTGGTCGCGTCGCACTTGCAATCAACGCACTTGCATGCATCGCCGCACTTGCACACCTCATTGCACTTGCAAAGCTCGCACTTGCAGTTGTCACCGCACTTGCACCCCTCATTGCATTTGCAAGTCTCGCACTTGCAGTTGTCACCGCACTTGCATGTGGCAACCTTCTTCTTGGTGCTGCAGCAGGACTCGGCCCCAGCAGCCTTCTTGGTGCTGCAGCAGGACTCGGCCTCGGCCGTCTTGTCAGCGCAGGAGCACTTGTCGCCGCATTCGCATTTGTCGCCGCACTTGCACTTATCGCCGCACTTGCACTTGGATGAGGTCTTCCTGCAGCTGCTGGTCTCCGGGCATGTGCATTCGGTGGTGCCGGGCTGTCCGC